TATCCATTACATTAATGACTAAATGCTTATAAGTTTTTAAGTTGCTTAAATGTTAGTGTAAAATTTTATTCCATAATTGAAATATAAAATCTAAACAATATTTAATAATTAAAAGTTATTGATTTTAATTAAAAATATATATTTACTCTTTCTTCTTGAAGTCTTCTGTCTTGTTCTGCTAAACGTTGTCTTTCTGTTAATTCGCATGCTCTAAGTTCCTCAAATCTCCTTTGATGTTCTTTTAATGTTGCTAATTCTTCTTCTTGGATTACTTCAATCAAACTTTGTTCTAATATATAACCAACAAAAGCATCCAATACTGGAATAACTTCAGTATCAAAATCAAATAACTAGGAAAAAAAATTTTTATTATAACCAAATTTATTAAATTATACTATATTTATGAACAAATCAAATCATTTTTTCTATTTCCTATTTTTTCAATTATTAAATTTTATTCACTCATTAATTTTTTATAAAATGGAAATTGGAAATTGATAATTAAAATGAAAGTAATTTTAACAGACTATTATTATGGAAAGGAGTAATTGATGTAAACTTTTATTGCACATTATAAGCAAGAAAGAGAATAAAAATTTCTTTATTAAAATTTATTAAATCAATCTGAAATATTAAAAAGCTTATTAATATTTTGAAAAAATTTTAAAATAATAAAAGTGCTAGAACAGGAGTGGACAATCTTTTTAAATATGCATGACAAAATCACTAAATCTATGGTACAAAATTTTCTCATTAGACCAACCAAAATCTTTGGGAGCATATTTGGCATATTTTAAGTATTGAGAGAAACTTTTCAAATACAGTGGGTGATCAGTTAACAAACACAATCTGTTCCAAGACTGTGTTCGCTACCTGAATTGTTCATTAACTGATTATTGATTTACCATAAATTTTTATGGAAATTTGATTAATTTGTTCTGGAGACCACAAAAATAAATACAAGTAAAAAGTTATATACTTTCTTACTATGTTTATTTATATGTAATAATAAAAAAACATATATACACAGTCTTGCATTTTTATCAGTCATGTTTTTTTTTCCATTTGTGGGACCTTAAAGAATCTGCCCAATGTCAATTGCTTTTCTCTCTTCTTCAGGATTTTTCTTCAACTTCTTCTTTATCTGCACTAGCAGACTAATTATGAATTACCACATGTTTAATGCCAGATCTCCTTCTAAACTTTGCAAACCATCCAGTGGTAGCCTTGAATTCTATCTCCTCATGTGAGTTTGTTTCTTAAGTTCTTCAAAAATTTCTCTAGCTTTCTCTTGAATGATAGTCACACTAGTTACATTTCTTTTCATTTCCCTTTCTTGTATCCAAATTAAAAGCAATCTCTCCATTTTTCATGGATGGCACATCTTTGTTTCTCATATGTGATTTTCATTACTCCTTTAGTTACTTGAATCTTCTTGATTATATCTTTCTTACCTAAGATTGTGCCTACTGTAGACCTGTTCAAGTCATACTGCCTAGCCACAACAAACATCTTCTGCCCACTCTCTACCTTGGATATTATCTCTTGCTTGGTTTCTATGTGAGCAGAGTTCTTGACACTACTCCTTTTAGGCTCCATAATATTATCAATTTTTTTTTAAATAAAAAGTTCAGAAAATCACTCACAAAAATTCAGAGAACAGAAATCAACTAGTGCATAAAAGAATTATGTAAATGTGAGGTCTGAATGAAATTCGAAATTTTGGTGTTAAAACATTAACAAATATCCGATAGGACAGTTAAACTATCACCTTTCAAAAATAAAAATTGACAATTTAACAAGTGCCCGACAATCTCACAAAGACTATAAAAAATTATCTGTCAGAAAGATAAACAGAAAGGTAGAATTACAAGGGAGAGTTTTAAGTTCAAAGGAATACTATCTGATTAGTATCGGGTTGCACATCGATGTCTATGTGTTCCACACTCCGAAAAGTTTTGAACTGTCACCTGGAGAAAAGGGAAAACCAATTGGTATTAGTTTTTTTACGTCACTTCTTTTTGTGTTTGTTCTGTGATGAGTTCATTATCCAAACATAAAAATCTTTTGCGAAAGTGTTCATTGTTCACAATCCAAACTGTAGTCAATCACCCACTGTAGTCAAAAATCCATATAGATACACCCTATAAAAACCTGATAAATTCTTAACAAAACACAAAATATATATATATATATGGTGATGATAATGAATCACTTCATGTTTGGCTGCCTGGCAAATGATTCAATAATTGAATAGGATAAAACCTGTTTTGGAAATAAGATGTTTGTTTCATTTTCTTATTACTTATTACTACTATAATAGTTGATAGAGTTTATTTCTTTATTGCACTTTTTATTTAGTATTACTCTACTCAATAAAATTGTATTCTATAAGTAATAAGTTAAAATATTCAATTCAGTGAAGATATTGGAAATTTATTTAGAAGGTGAGCTCTTGATTGCATTGTAGAAAAAGTTGTTAACCAAGGGCCAAAAATTGTCCACCTCAGCTCTGGGGTAAATTGATTTAGAATAATCTTATAAAATAATGAAAATAAACATTTAAAGAAACAATTGCATATCAACTAAGTAAAAAATTACACTATTAATTAATAAAGTTTCTTAAAAATTAAATTCAAAATTTTGCACTCATAAAAAGTAATTTCAAAAATTTTATATGAAAAACTTTCATTTTATTAAAAATTATATACATGGTGGTCATTTATAATGTCAATTGAAAATATCTCCTAAAATATACAATAAATTGAAAATGTATCTTATACGAAAGTTTATTATTTTGGAGGAGCTTTTTGAACCACATAAAAACTAAACTACTACTTCCCCCTTGCAGATGGGGCAAAGGCTCTAACTTTCAATTTTCAAATGGGAAAACCTAATTTTTTTTTGCATTTTCGGATTCTTTATTAAAAAGTAATAGCATTTTATTCTAAACAATTTTTTCAATTAATGTTAATTTATTAGCATTTTTAGTATTTTTGAAAAATAAGACTTCCCTATAAAGAAGGGATGATAAAAATAAAAAGGTTTATTGAAAGATTAAAAAAAGATTATCATTTATTACTTTCTATCTGTCAAATGCAATACCATTTGCTACAGAATGATAAATGTTAATCTCTTCATCTTTTTTTTTATTTTTGTCACCTAAATTCTCATAGGCATATTTAATTGAGTCAGGAAGCATAAATATTGTCACTTTACTCCACTGTATCTTCAAAATGAAGTCATGGACCCCAATTTGACACATTCATGATAAAAAGTGGTAGGAATAGCTATGAGATGATATGAATGGACTTGTTAATAGAACGTTTGAAATCAATTCATTTATAGATCTATTTAAATCATTTCATTTTAAATACAGGAAACCGACAAAGGAACCAACAGGAAATTCTAATGGTGCTCTATTAGTTTCTACTGAGATGTAAAAACCAATTGGTTTCAATTGTTAAACCAATAATAATTGATATGTTTACTAGGGCACAAAGAAGATTAGAGAAGATAAGACAAAGTGTCCAAAGATGACCAGATGACAAACTCATCAATAAAATATTCAACTGAAAACCAAAACATAAAAGGTTCTTAAATGATCTAGAAAATACTATAAAGACACTTTAAAGAAGATGAATTCCTAGTCACAACAAATGAACAGCCTAATTCAGAATGGTCCAACTGACAACTTATGAGCCATATCTAACTTGGTCTTGGTAGACAATTAATCTGCATCATTGTTATTTAGTTAACTGCAGCATTTTCATTACCATGTGATGCTTCAATAAATATGCATAGTACTAAATACTCTCATTAAAATGTTGGCTAGCTTTTGTTATTTAATTAAGAATTCAAAATGTCTTATTTTCCATATACAGTAATACCTCGACTTACGCGAACCTGGAGTTATGCGATTTTCAAATCTCATCGATTCGTCTTTTGTTTGAGCGCCACACAACTCTTGATTACTCACTCCACCCACACTATTGTTCAGCTTACAAGTTCAGACATGTCTTGCAGAATCAACACATAGCTATAATTTATTTTGTGTTATTTATTTCTGTGTTTGTTATATCTACAGACTTGAAGACTCTATGTGGTAATTTCTTGTAACCGTGAACGAATCAAAAGACGAGATAAGATTAACCAGAACATTTATTAGCTTACATACATCCGACTTTGATTTTACACAAATTGTGAAATTATACCCCGACTCATGCAAATTCGACTTACGCGGTTATCGCTTGGTCCCACCTATCGCGTAAGTTCGGGGTATTACTATATTCATTAAAAAATTACTTCTCTGGCCTTGACAAGTATAGTTTGAATGAAAAAGTCAAACCACTCTAGTCTAATACATAAGAAAAGGAAGAAAGGAAGGAAAATTAAAAATGAAAAATTCAAATATATAATTTTTATTAATTAAACTGTAATTAACAATAGAGAATAATAAATAATCAAACTTACTTCATCATCTTCAATTTGAGTTCCTACATCAACACCAATTTTGGCAGGAACAAACAATGGTGTGGTAGGTCTCTCTAAAAAGACATCAGTCTGACATTCTACATCCCTTTCTTTAACCACTTTTTGCAGTTCTTCTAAGTACACTCCAGTCTGAATTGGAATATGAAGTCTCCCTTCTACAGGTGGTGGAGTTTGAACATCAAATTCATATAAATAATCAAGATTTTTCTGTTTTCTTGCAGCAATTGGAGTGAACTATAGTTTAAGAAATATATTTTATTGTTAATAAAAAGTATAAAAACTAAAATGTAATACTTACTTCTGATATTCGTGTTAAAGTTCGAGTATTTCCTCTTAACAGATGTCTGTCATAACGAATTCTTGGGTTATCAGAAACACTATCAAAGCTACTATGAAAACAAAAAATATTATAGTGAGAATAATTACAGACATAGCTATATTTTTACAGACTTCTCCAATTAAATTAATTTTGTTAATTTATTGAAAGAATGCAAGAAACCATGAAAGATAAAATCTTATTTATTTGGGTCTGTTTGGAAATGCTTACTGATCAAATCAGCTGGTTATAGCAGTGAATGACATCATTGATAGTTGATCAGCTGCCTCTAACTTCACTCATCAAGAGTGGTGAGTCACAACTGGTAAATCATTGGAAACTTTATAGGTGATGTTTTTGAATGAGACTCAATCTCAGCAGTTGTTGAATGTCTGAGAATGTCTGAGCAGAACCTTTTAGAGTATATTTTAGGGTTTAACTAATTAGAAATTTAATCAATTTGATAATACACACATAATAGTGTGAGGTACATTTGGATTCAATGGAATTTCCAGTCTAGCATTTATTTCTGAACATCAGACTTCAGAAAATTATCAAGACACTTTAGAATGACATCTCTTTCCTATAGCAGAAATGATAGGTGGTCCAAATTGGACATTTCAACAGGACAATGCTCCCATTCATTGAGTTCTGTAATACACCACTCATTGTTCAAATTCAACCAAAAAATGACTTCAGAATCAAAATGTAAATGTTATGAAATGGCCTGTAAGAAGTCCTGACCTAAACCCAATAGAAAACTTATGGAAAATCATGACAAGACAGGTGTATGCAGGTGGTCATCAGTTTTCCAACATTACAGAACTTAAATGTGCAATTGAGGATTCATGGTATAACTTGAAACCAGAATTGTTACAAACTCTTTGAATTCAATGCCAAATCATGGATGTGTGTATGATGTTATTAAAAATAATGGAAGCACAATTAGCTGTAAAAAGTTTTTTTTTATATAATTTTTGAAATTTACCTAAACTTTTGTTCAGCAAAATTTCTNAATATAATTAATTTATCTTTTTCCGACGATTGAGAAATTTGACTTTATCACTGTTTTATATTACAGACAAACCTCTAGTAGCGGGCACCTCTAAATGGTGGCCATTTTCAGAAACGTTTCTATTGAGATTAATAAAAAGAATAACTCCAAAACAACGGCCACCTCCGAAAACGGCCAATTTTTTACGTTCTCGTCAGTGGCCGTTGTTCGGAGGTTTGATTGTATTTAAAAATTATCATATGATATTTAATACAGAAGATGATTATTTAAAATTTTGAAATATAAATGAGCTGATTAGTACATCTGTATTTACTGATTTCTTATGTAAAGTTTATTGGATAAGTACGTAAGAAATGGAAATTATGATTACAAACCAATAACTGTATTGTAAACATGTAATAGGTCTGTATGCAGAAGAAGTATCTTTATCTGAAAAAAAAATTCCACGGTATATAAACACAAATATTTTTGTTAATAATTAAATTGTATACAATAATAGATAATACTAACAACATTCGGGTCCTGGGCATAATAATTTACAGGAACAAGGACGAGTAGATAAGTCCAAGACGTAACCTGTTGGACATTCCTTTCCGTCACAACACGTATTCTTATATTCTGAAGGTTTTATATTTCCTGCAAAGTAATAATATCAATAAAATATAATTATATACGCTAGAAGTTTATATAATTATTGATTATATAACTAGTAATTTAAAATAAGATTTTGAAAAATATATATTTAACATATCGAGTCTTCAATAAGCAACATTGAACAAAATGAATACCTCTAGACAACGGCCATTTTTTTATGTTCCCATTAGTTTACAAGTTTAACTGTATTTAATTTTATTACATTTATAATTTAACTATTGCATCATTATATATTTAGATAGATAAACACTCACGGCATGTTTCGCACATACTCCTACAATAATCCTTCGCCACCACATTATCATCTATAGAACAATGAAATCGTTCCCAAAATCCAGGTTTCTTGCCACAAAGAGAATGGCTATCTTCACATTTTCCTAAATTATCAAATTATTAATTAAATTTATATTTGTTTGTATGATATAACGAATTAAAACATATTGTTAACTCACGAGAACAATCTAAATAATCCCAACCGTCTAAACACGAACAGCTACAACTCGAAGAATTGAGTTTGGCACAGTTGTAACACTTTAAACGACATTCTAATAATAAAAATGAATTAAAAATTTGTCATTAAAATGAAATTCTCAAAAGATATTAAACATTTTATATTAATTGCAAGTGGATTTACCGCAAGTCCAATTCTTTTTTTTACATAAATCCTTGGGAACTAAATATGGTATTAATGCAAAACCATTCAGTGTGCATTGCATGTTAATGTAAGAATCTAATAAGATAAAGTACATACCACACAAATCATTAAGGCAAAAACCTCCGAGTTCTTCTGCACAAAGAGAACAAGGTTTACCTACTAAATAGGGTCTCACACCCGAAATATAACCTCTGAAACAAAGAAAAAAATTTAATTCGTTTTAGAAAGCGGTTTGAATTTAGCGACAGGAAGTCAGGGAAATCATGAAAAGATTTACAATGAATCCAATTTTTTTTTTAAATGATACAAACGGCCCTACAGTTTCTTGAATTTCTACGGTTCGTTGGATTCATTGATACAATAGGAACTGTATTCACCGAAATTCGATTAACCGGAGATTCAATCAACTGAATTTGGATATTCAAGATTATTAAAAGAAGGTTTATACAGATTACCTACAAATTATTTTAATCAGTAATACAACATAAGAAATGTATTCTTATGTATTGTAGTTAGGGAATTCGATCCCGGTCCTTATTTCTAATCCCGGGATTTCGGGATTATACTTATTCGATCCCGGGATCCCGGGATTATTTCGGTATTGAGGGTTAATAAAAAATAAGAAAACCTTACAGAAGTTAAAAATCAAAATTTAGACAAAAATCAACGTATTTTACGGTATACACCTAGTTAATTTAATCACTCTAATTAATCAGACTTACAGTCAGACTAACCAGACTTAAAATCACTGTCTTCATGTTAAATTTATTCTTTTTTAAGCATCACTGAGATCTCTTTAAACTCACATAAATTGAAAAAACCTTTATGTAACAAACTATGCAAATAAACGTTGAAAATTAACAAAAATCTCTCTTAACATCGACTAAATAGACTACTTTCATATAACAACCTAGTAAGTAGGTAGTAAAGTAAGTTTCTTAGCAAAAAGTATTTAAAAATAATATTAATCAGTCACATTTTTCTTAAATATAAAGAAAACTAATCTAATAGGAACATTCTAATTTGAATTGCGAAAATATGATCTGAGAAATAACAACGCATCCAGTGTCTCATCACCAAGTCTGCTTCTCAATTTGTTGCACATATATGCAGCTGCTGAGAAAACGCGTTTAGGTTTGATGGAAGTTGGAGGAATCGTTAGTAAATACTTATAAGCTTCGAGGACACGGGGAGGATGGAAGAAAACAGTCCGGTCGACACGGATCGGGATTGTAGGAGTAAAGGCTATAATCCCGATTGTTTCGATCATTGTAAGCATGTTTTTCAAAAAATAAACGCGTTAATTTTGTAAATTCGGTCTCTGTGTGAGTCTCTCAGCGTTCAGCAAACCACTACCCCGAAACGTAAAAAGACTTTCTCGCATCATCCTGACAGATCGCGGACAAGGCGAGGGTCATAACCTTTTCACCTAAGGTCGACCCCCCTAAGCGAGTAGCGTCGGGTCTATATTAACCACACTGGCAAAACAAGATGGCTGACACATTGACAGGTAAAACGCACTGAGTAGTGCTCTTGACTGCGCCAGAAAATCGATTGGCGCCCGCGAAAATTCAAAAATACAAAAATGAAGTATATTACCAAGTAACCCAGTGAGAACTGCTTGCCTATCATTTTAGTTGAAAATACAAGAAGTTTTATTCCAAGCAAGCATCGCAAGCCCGCTTGGTTAATTTCTGCTGCTTGCTTGGAATAAAATTTCTTGTATTTTATATTAAAATGATAGGCAAGCAATTCTGTTAAAAGCACTGGCACTGAACGTTTCGCTTCATGCAGTCTATTTTGCAATTTTTTTAAAATGATGTCAATCCCGAAAATCCCGGGATTAGGAAAACTTAATCCCGAAAATTTTGGGACTGAAAAGTGGTCGGGATCCCGGGATCCCGATTTTCGAGATCCCGGGATCAAATCCTCTAATTGTAGTTTCATAGAAAGAAAGTATAGAATGTATTCTCGTCCTCTACAGTTCAGTTTCATTGTAGACGGCAAGAATACATATTTGACTTTCACTGATAAAAATTAATAGCTCAGTTTCTCTGTTACTTTCTAACATATTGTCACACTGTCACACCTCCATAAAGGATGATTACTAAGTGAAAACATGTATTATCTTTAGGGCAGAAATATCTGTAATTAAAAAGTACAGTAAGCAATTTTAGTAAATACCGTACATGTAAGAATGTTTTTAAAATTTTCTGTAAATACACTAGCCTATTGTAAACGCAAATTCTATTATCCGAGGCAGAGGCGGGGCAAGACCTAAATTTGATGCGGGCAAGGTACATTTCGCGAGGCCTTCTGGTGGCGCAAGAAGACGGATTTTTATTCCTATAAATGCAAACTATATTCTTTAACTAACATTAAAGAAAAATTAAAAAAAATTAATTAAAGAAACAGAAATTTCCTGCTTTTAGCCTTACCGAACTCCTTAATAATTGTATCGTAATTTAGCTTAGATGCTATATATGCTTCAATAGATAAAACTGCGAAAGCTGAAAGTCTTTACTGACCCATTGTATTTCTTAAATAATTTTTTATTAGTTTTAATTTTGAAAAGCTCCTTTCAGCGTAGGCAGTACTTACAGATATTGTTAACAAAATTCGAACGGCAATGTAAATATTTGGGTACATTTCTTTCAAGTTATTTTCTATTATGTATATTGGAGCAGCTGTTTCACATCTTTAATTAATGAAGTTGGGTAAATTTGGGATCATTATTTGTAATTCTTCATATAATTCGTAAGGTTGAAAGTCACTGCTCTCACCCACTAGCAGGACTGAGTGTAAATCTTGACTGTTTTTTTTTTTTTAATATTTGCTCTTTTGGAATATTTTTTAATTCGCTTAGATCATAGAGAAAACTTAAATTTTCAAAATGTTGATTTAAAGATAAATCTCGAATCCATATTACTTATTATAAACTCAATCGTGGTGTTAAAAAGATCTGTTTCATACCTGCTTTTGGGAGACTGTATAGATTGATCGCTGCCTTCATCATCGAACATCCTTTTCTTTTTGGCTACCCTTTCGTTTTTAAAGTCTTTTGGCAGTTCATAACTGCTATTCTGAATAAATTGACGAGCGTCAGACAAGCATTTTTCGAATCCAATTTGTCGATATTCTTTGATTTAGTCACAAAATGTACGCAAATGTTCAAGAGCAATGCTTAAATGGACTTGTACAGATTGCCATAATTTGCTTACGATATTAACACGCGATAATATCTCATATCATACATGTAATGATATGATAAATTCTAAACTGAGCATTTCGTTTAAAACCGAATCACAATCACTGAGTGTGCCTAGTTGTTCCGCTTGATTTTTTAAGCTTTCGATGCATTCAACAACATCATCTAATTGTAATAATACGGCCTTCACTGCCTCGATTCGACCTTCCCACCTTATGTCTGATAAAGGCTTCGTAGTAAGCTTTAATTTGCCTTTGATTACTTCCCAATGTTTGCTGGAACTTGAAAATAGCAAATAAATTTTCTGAATAAAACCAAAAAAATGTTTTTGCTGCCACAGAAGAATTAGCTGCGTCTACCGACAGCAGATTCCATTTATGACAACCGCAAAGTGTATAAAATGCCCTGGGATTAATATTTAATATTCGAGTTTTAACTCCACTATTTACGGGATACTTTACTGAGATACTTTGATTGGGTTTCTAGCCGTTAAGAATCGTGAAAATAACGTAAACAAACACAATGGGAAATCCCCACCTCTGGCTGACAAGGATTCCCCGCTATAACAACGCAACTCCAGCAAATGTTGCTAGACTAAATAAAAACAAATTTGGTATGTCAATATATTTATCGTTTTATGACGAATAAAATTTTTCCGTTGCGTTCACGGCTTTTATGTAATGCATAAACCTTCGAAGTGCGAGGCCCCTCGGACCGCGAGGCCGTAGGCGGTGGCCCACGTCGCCCACGCCTTACGCCACCTCAGATTCCGAGCACACTCCTTTCTATCCTTACCCCAGTTAAGAGAGTTTACTGTAATGACAGAGTTACGATTTAAATATTTTCGATTTATTTTTTTATAATTTGATTTAATTCGCTTTATTTTCTTAACGTGTTTAATAATTTAAAAAAAATATTTGAAAAACTTACTGTGGATAGTAATGACAAGTAAACATATAAATATTTCTTCCACATTGAGAAAGAGCACAACCTACTAAATGTGTGGAAGCCCACATTAGCTGAAANAAAAGGTTAAATTGTTTATTTCATAATGTTGGCTTTATAATAATGTGGTTTTTTTCTTGTTTATTTTTAGGTTTATAGTGAAAATTGTTAGTAATTTTATGTTATTTATACCCTAATTATTAATCCAAAGCTAACCGCTGGTTAAATAAATTGTAAACCACGTTATTTAACCAGCGGTTATCTTTGGATATTTGGGAGACTATCCGATTTGTGAATAAGAGACTAAACAGATTTTTTTTTTCATTTTCTAGGTAAGATTTAGCCTAGTTTTCCAGTAATTATTTATTTTATTGTATTCGGATAGTTCTCCCACTTTTAGGTTTAGGTTTAGAATGAATTTACTTTTGAATCTGCCATTGTGTTTTAGTTATAAGTTGTGTATATATTTGTTTTGTATTAACGAATATGTTGTATGATCTTGTATGATTTTTATATGTTTTCTCTCCGCATCATGGTTGTCCAGTATAATTGAATAAATAAATACAGATAATACGGTAGAATCTCGCTAATCCAAACTCCGGTAGTCAGGATAAACCTATTAGGTTAAATAAATTAAAATGTTGGGATATAACGTAAACATTCAATTTTACGTGAAGATTAATTTGAACATAGTAGTTATTTATTATTTTAAATCACATTTATTCTGAATAATACATGATATAAAAATAAATTTTACATCTATAGATATCACATTTTATTTATTTATATTAAGTTCCAGTCGTTCATTATTATGAACATAAACATTAGTGACCATAACCCTCTTCCTTCAAACGAAGGATCCCTATTTAAAAAATATATATATATACACAGACTTCTGTAATTCGTGGGATCATAGATTTGGATCGGATCCGAACCAGAAGCTTGTTAACAAACATATATAGAACTTATATTCGTCATAATGTGTAAATTTGTATATTACTTAATGCTTCTTTTACTTAGAAGGTTAACCAAAAGTCAGTTAACCGTGTTTTATTTTAGTGCTTTCCAGCTATCTTGTGAAAATTAGGCTAATACTAAACTGCCTTTAAGATAATGTGTTTTTCCCCATAATTGATGAAGTTTGTACTAAAAATAAGTTTTTAAGTAATAAAATATCTAAATAAGAAAACAATTTATTTTTTACCAAGGTTAACTAACTTTTGGATTAGCCTTTACTTCAATCCTTTTTTTAAACGAGAGATTTTTATTAAAGGCAAAAACAAAAGTATCTGTATATCGTATCTCAATTGACAGATCAGAAATATCTTAACAAACATATAACTAAGAGTTTATGTTATAGCCTATATAAACTCATATATTATTGATAAAAATTCTTTTACATTTAGAGTAGTCCAAAAATCAATTAACCGTGATTTTTTCTTTATTTTTGTTGCGTTCTACCTACACTGATGAACATAAATCATAAACTGAAGGACTGGAGGTTCTCTTATAAAATCGGTAGAAACGTCAAAAAAATTCCAGCAACAAGCTGCGTAACTTTCCAGGCAAAATTTAAAACTGGAAAAAATTATCATAACAGATGATGCCACAGGGAGCCATCTCTTATGATATTTTATTTATAAACTTTTTATATTTTTAAACGGCAAAAAGGTTAAGTTTGAAGATAGGAATGAGTTTATAAAAAATTGTATTGATAAATGCTAATAACGAGTATAATTGTCATTAAGTCCGACCCTATGGAGATACACACGACCCCCTTTATCTCCCCAACCCGTTAACCTATAATTACCAAAATTTAATAGCATGAATTTTTCTAATACACAAACCTTCCTGAGAAATTTCAGAAATTTTTAACAAAAAGTTTTAAAGTGAGCGAACAAAATCATTCCCCCCACACATACTAAAATCCATACATACAGAAATTATCCCCGAAATTTTCGTATTTCTCGACGTTTCAAGATGTCCCGAGTAATAATAACTAAATATTACTTGCATACGGTGGCGCATTACCCTATGAAAAACTTCCTCGAAGATGTCTGAAGTCAACACTGTAAATCTCTAATTCAAATTTGCCTGAACAATCTTTTCTCACTTAATACATAAAAATTTTCTCTTAGAGTTTCATAATTTTATATGCTTTATGCTTATTATATTAAAAAAAAAAAATAATTTAACTTTAATTTCTCTGAATAAAATAAATAAACAAAAACCTGTGGTATTAATGACTATTTATACATTCGCGGAACTCATTCCACCTCAAAATTACACGAATTCTTATATAGACACGTGTTCTGAGAATATAATTTTATGTTTTAGAGCCCGGATTTACCTATAAACGACTGTTTAGGGCCCGAGGCTCGACGACCGGATCGTTCTATGAGTTTATAATTATTTGTTTCATGAAAAATTAGCAATTATTAGTAAATATTAATATGAATATTCTGTTTACATAATTAATCAGTTCAATTATATAACATATTATAATTATAGACGATTTTGTTTTTTTTTTTCACTGTATAAAATTACTGTAAAAATTTTGTCTACACTTCAAAATTTCATTAAAAAAAATTCCAATTTTTATGAAATTTTGATCTATAAATTTTAAAAAAATATTAAATTATTTAACTGTAGATAAATAAAGTACAGTTTTTAAATGGTTATACCGGTGTAAAGTATCAGAATTTTTTATATTTTATTTGTTCACTGTTCAGATATTATATTTCAAAATAACTAGACAAGGTGAAGAGTTTATCATTAAATATTAACATAAAAATTGCAATGAAAATGCATGGCACTTATGTGTACTGCAATACATTTTATTTGGTTATAACATTCATAATTTTTTTTCGAAACTAAAACACGCAATAGCTGATAAAGCCATTTTCTGGGGTATTGAATATTTGTTTACATGAAAGTATTTTATTTTATTTACGTTATTTTCTTTAGTATTTGAACTTTATATTAAAAGTTATGCGTTAAAACAGACATACTGACGGCCGGATAGCTGCAGACTTTAAGGAATCAGCCACCATTATAAAGAATTTGGTCGATTTTCTATGTTAAAGTAAACCTGTTCAAAACGGAAACCTGCAAAACCGGCAAATATATTCGGTACCATACGATTCCGGTTTACACAGGTTTCACTGTATAACGGAAGGTTATGCAAAATATATCAAAATAAATCAACCGTTTTCTACTAAAATTATTTAATTTATCACTTTAGATTATTCTAAACTATATAAAAAAAACTATATATAAATAAATGCAGATTCTCACCATCATTCTCATATTTGCAGCCGGCGGAGTTGCATTACGTCGATAGCCATTATGAAACCTCACAATATCATCTTTGTCTTCCTCTGTTAGAGGTACACTTCTACCTTTTGTTAAAGGCATGGCTTCTATTTTAGGATTTGCTTGTTCTTGTCCCGAATAATCATCGTAAATTTTAAAAATTTGAATATTTAGCGAGAAAACTGGGACAACAAGAAATGCCCACTCAATACTCGTCAAGAGTGTCATATGATCTGTAATGACTTAGAACCGTAGTGTGATGTCTTTCCTTTAACTGTGTTCACTCCTTTCGGATATCCTGTTTTAGTGGAGAAGGAAGTAAAGCCGATTATAGTAAATTTTATTCTTATTTACTTAAAATTTATTTAAAATTATCAAAATTAAAAATGCAAATTAATTTATTACGTTACTTATAAAAATGAATAAAGCGAAGTTGTTTTAGTATATAAAATTTAAATTCTCATCTTTATTTATCAATTTTAATTGTAATTAAATGGTACATTTAATCGATTGGTGACGTTAATTATAATTAATTATTCGGAAAATTCGCTTTCGTAACGAATGCGATTATTTCTTAATTTCAAATTATCATCCGAATAACCTTCCAATTCTTGCTCGATATTTTCAATTTGTTTATTTATCTGATTTAATTTTTTAGTCAGAGCATCCCGATGGATGAGGAAGCGATTTTTATCCAGTTTATTTCGAAACAATTGTTCCAATTGTTGATTAATGTCGTTGATCCTATGTTCTTCATTATAAAATTTACTTTGCAAATTAGAAATATTTTCCTTTAACTCGTTGATGGTTTTCTTAAACACGAAGGCCTTCAATCTACTTTCAATCTCTTTCTTATTTTTATCACATCCTTCTTTAACGGTCTTCAAATCGTTTTCGAATTTACTTAACGCTTCGTTCATCTCGTCCATTTTCTTTTTTAAATTTTGTTGGTTCTGCGGCCTGTTTTGCCGGGATTTATTTATGAAAGAATTTATTTTTTCTTTAGTAATTTCTATTTCTTTCTGCGAATTTCTTTCGCTGGCTTGAAATTCGATGAAAACAGTTTCGATATTCGCGATTCTTTTATCCAGAGCACTGTTCAAATTCTCCAAATTTCGTTTTAATTCCTCCAAGTCGTGTTCGTAATTACAGCACAAGTGACACCCATTCGATTTCCCCCTCTCTAACTGATCTAATTTGAATTTTTCCGCTTGATTATTCCGAATATTCGAATTTAACACGTCACTCATATCAGAAAACTGCTTAATTCTTCCTGTTTTATCAGAAATTGTATGGATGCTGATCTCCTTCTTACTCGCCATTTCGTAATTGTTGAAGATGTTAATATTATTTTTACATTTTTCCAAATGTTTACATCCGTATTCTTCATTATCTATCGAGGGTAGCTTCTCTGATTCATCTTGAACATTGTTATTCGGAAAAGGTGTTTTATATGTTAATTTATTTTCGTATAAATTGCAAATTTTCGGCAGCTTAACGTAATTTTCGTTACGTTTTGCTTTAGAATTATCTTCGATTTCATCTCCAGTAGTTTCTTCGCTGATAGAAACCGGCATAATTTTAGAATATTCAATATTTAAGTCTTCTGAATAATCCCTTTCATCGCTGGATTTATTCGTAGTATTTAAATTAATTTTTTTGACTATAATATGAGGATAATCTTTCGAATATTCTTCAGCAGTTTTTAGCATGGTCGATTTCGAACACTGCAGTATTTCTTCATTGAAAAATTCATCTGCCGATTTCTCTCCAATTATATTTTCTGATGATTTTTCATCCAGTTTATCATTTTCATAATTTCCAAGATATTGCACCTCGACTGTAAGATCGCTTTCTTGATGCATGGTGTACATATTTCCATCTTTCATATCAACAACAGAGTCTAAATTCGATTCGTTTTGAATTTCTACCATAGAAGAGTCGATGCCATCTTGAATTTCCAAAATATTTTCAACAGGAATACCTTTGTTTTCATTTATATCTGAATCCAAACTATTGTCTTCCATCGATTCTTGCTCCGTTATGTTTTCACCCAGATCAATTCTAATAGTTGAACTCCGTAATCCAATTTTACCCAAAATATCGCGTAGAATTATTTGAAGGATTTTAAAATTGATTTTTTCGTCAAGCGAGAATGCAATATCCAAGAGTTGTTGGTGAGTGTATTCCTTAATCATCGTCAAAACTTGGGTTTCGCTGTTGTTTCACCAATACTCAAGAAGTTACTCAATAATTGAATACATTGTTAAATGAATATTTTGTTACTGACAGACATGTAATTGTATAATTTCAAATATATAACTTCTCAAACGTTAATTATTTTATGTAATATATACGAAATAATTATATAACCATAATTTCATAATAAGAGTTAAAGGATAAAATGAGCAATTATTTATTGTGACATGGTCACAATGCCGGATTGCAATTTTTAATCATATTTTTAATTTATTTAATTTAAAATATATTTTCTCCATCTCAAATTAATAGAGGCTTACCCCTATACGTCATACTTTCCCTTTAACAACAAAGTCGTGCCGGTTATCTATACCTTTAAGCCCATAACCCGAGAAAACTCGGGCAAGTTACATAGCGTTACGAAAAATGCGGGCGTTTGGGCCCCCAAATTTTTTTTGAATTTTTGGAATGTTTTTTGTCCCCAAATTTTTTCAGAATTTTTTACCCGCGCGAAAAAATTTTATTGCGATTTTAATGAGCCTTTGATAAGGCTCGATTAAGGCTTAATTGCCTTTTAATGTATTTTTAATGGGAGTTTTTTTATCAAAATTAATTAATCGTTCTAAAGTTGTAGTGTACCGATTTTCCTTCGGTAAAGTTATTTAAAGCTGCTTTCTGATGTCAAAAACGACCTCCAATAGTTTTTTAATTTTTTTAATTAATAGATTTTATTATATATAAGTTTAATTAAGCCGGGGGGTCGGAAATCGCAATTAAAATCTTAATTTTTTAAAAATATTTAAAAATATACGTGTCGGTCATATTCACCCTACTTTAAACCCTTGTCCTCCCGAGACATATATGAAAATGTCCCGGGAAATCCGACTCCAGCTGTGTTCAAGGTCATCCAGCTGTGTAAATAATGACTCATCGGCGTTATATTTCACAGAAAGACCAGACAAAGGAAAATAAAATTTGAAGCTTTTTCTTCAAAATAAACGCATTTCTTTCGTTTTTTTTCAGTTTTAAGTATTCTTTACGTTTAATTAAATTAATGATTATAAAATATCAAAAATCTCAATGTCCTTAAGGGGTTAATTAATTAATTAATTGTTTTTGGGAAAAGATTTGAATTGAAATAACGTAACTTTCGGTTTGTATCAGAAGTTCATATGCAGTTAATCAGGACCTCTTTCTCCAAGGTTTCCATATCTATCTCGGATTTCATCTATCTAACAACATTCTCGAGATTAAGGAAAGACAGACAAACGGACGGACGACAGTGGGAATTTATATCCTTAGTGATATTCAAAACTACATATTATTTCTGTGACCATAAATGGATTTAGAAACAGAAAAGTATGGAACAATATTTTATTTATCAGACGAACATTAATAACAAATATAAACATATAAAATAATCTGATAAATTTGTTATATCAGCTGGACACATTAAATAAATTTACTTGACAATATTGATAAGGAACATATTAACAGAAACTCTATTTCTATATTTTCTGTCGATGCTACTATAAAATAGAAAAATATTTTATTATTAAATTGTTAATAGAATATTTGAGGAAAAAAAAATATGTATTGATAGTAATCAGTAACGTAACTAGAGAGGGGTCAGGGAGAGGAGACTCTAATCTTTGCAAATAAATAAATGAAAAAATCAAATAGGTACAGGAAAAATACATTTCAATGTACAAATGTATATACAACTCTATTAAGGAAGGACAGACAACAGACTGGACACCAATGGAAATTTATAGGTCTGCAATTTGAAAATTGCAGTCCAATATCTAAGAGTACAGGGATAGCTTTCTAATTCGAATTTCCTCTAATATCGTTTTCTAATTACGCTACTGGTAGTAATACTATAGATTTAAAATAATTAATATATATATATATTAAATACGTACAGTTTTCTATCTTATAGATATAGATAGTTTTATTTGTTTTGTCAATTTCGAGAAGAGGAAAATTCGATGAATTAGTTATATTTAATAAGTTTGTTGATATAGATTCTGAATTTTCTGACTGATAAAAATTTGTTACTGAATTAGTTTCGTAATTTCTTTCTGTATTACTTGATGCAAAGGTTGAAGATAACCAAGAATTATTAGTTGCCGTTGTATTTAAATTACTTTGGAAATTTGTAAAATTGATTAAATTTGTTTGGTTTTCTAGTCCATTGGAATCTTCTAACCAATTTCCTTCTGAAATATATGAGTCATTTTTATTTGTATTACTGTTTGAATCAAAGTCAAACAAATTACCTTCAATTTTATTTTTAGTTGTGTTTTCAAAAACATTTTCTTCTTGGCTTAAATAGCTTCTGTAATTAATAGTCACTAGTGGCAATTCGACATTTTTCGTATGTTTTAAGCAATTTGGCCCGGGACATAAAACTTCGCACTGGCAATCAATTGCAGATTTGTAAACGTAACCAGGATGACAGAGTTTGCCGTTGCAACAAATTTTAGAATCATTATTAGTATTTCCGATGCCTCCTAGTTCAATAAATAAATAAAAAATGTTTAAAAATAAAATTTGAAAATATGTATTTTATAATAATTATAATGTAAATATTAACTGCAAAAGCCGCAAGTTTTCCTGCACAGATATTTTGATGCTTCATCTAAACACTTTTCAGTCTTACAATCGACTTGTAAATCTTCACAAAGAGCTGCCATTTAAAATAAAATTGAACAAATTTAATTATAAAGTAATTTTTAAATTAGTTTTTAGTTAAATTCGATCTACTTACTCGAACAATCAAGAGAATCCCAGCCATTAAAACATTGACATTTGCATGTAGATTCATTCAACACACCACAGTTGTGGCATTTCAAATTACATTCTGTAAATAGATGATATGATTTAAAATTTGTTTGAAAATTTCAAATACAAATGAATGAATCCAACTTACTGCATGGAATATTTTCTCTTTTGCAAGAAGATTCTTTTACTAAAATTAATATATATGTAAGTGTGCCACGTAAATATAGAAAAATTTAATTCTTTGTATAAACTACTTACTACAAAGATTAGCGATACAGAGAACTTTGCTTCTGTTATCGAGATTACAGAGACTACAGCCTCTTCCAATGAGATAAGGTGGACTTACATTAGTTCTCCTGAAAAAAAAAGAAAAAAAAATTATTAAATTTTTTCTAATATAAAACAAACGAATATATAAAATTAACTTACTTTGAGTGATAATGACAAATAAATAAAGAATCGTTATTCCAACAATTGAAATTTATACCACAACCAATTTTATTAGTTTTCGACATTATCATCTGGGGTACCAATAGATTCACAAAATGAAAAAAACAAAAGTAAAATGCAATATGTTAAAATCAGTTTTTGTTAGGTGTTTTTAAATAATATGTGTATAAAAATGTTTCAATTCTAGTTATTATTCTAAAAATTTACAAAATAAAAAGAAATCTCACAAGAAAAATATTAATATTAAATAGGTTTGAGTTGACGGGAGGCACTCCTTTTGGCACGCATGAGATCTAGCCAAAAGGAATGCTTTCCGGAAGATTTTTTTAATGGGAGAAATGTTTTTATTAAGTGTTACACACGCGAAGAAAACCCAGAAAACCCCATGCCGCTTGCATGTGGACCGCTATCAGGGTCAGTGTTCCTCCGTTTAGCTTATAGCGTACAGCAAAATGGCATCAATTTAATGTTATACCACGATATCCAAGCTTTGTTTAGTGTGGATATGACGTCATTTTGCTGCATGTTATACGCTACATTCAAGAACTTAAATCCGGCTTCATCCACTGGTGTTGAAAAATGTGAATGTATAAATCCATGTATAACTGAGCATCTGGCATCGTTAAGATATGAGATATTCCGAATTTTTAACGGATCATAGGTACTGTACGATAACTTTTTTTATTTGTTAATTTATCCAATTATTACACACGAATATGAGATAGTGCTAAATATTGCATTAAAAATTTACAAAATTTAACATATGCCTAGCAAACTCTATATTTGAAGTAGATATGGAGCTTAGTAAATTTATCGTCTTGAATGAAAAATCTACTCCAGGAAGTTTAAGTTATAAGTATTTATACAGTTCCGTCGAAAAATCTCCAGGAATTTTTCAGGGATGGTCTGTCCGGATATATCGGGCCCCGTCCCTCACCACCCGGCCGCCCCATTGTGGGCCTGGCCGAACTCATATTGAATTGCTAAAAGAGGCCCTCTTAGTGCCCACAGGGCGGAAAGAGTAAAAAAAAAAAAAAAAAAAAATNAAAAAAAAAACTAACAAATAATTTCCACACATGTTTAATGTACTTAGGCTATACTTTATTCTATTGTTACTGTATATACAGTATATTCATAATAAATTTAATTTAATGATTATGTTTTAAATTGCAATATTCAGTTTGTACATTTTATTTACACAATGGAAATTATACCTAGAAGCGAAGAAAATCTTCCCCGATTTATAATAATAATAATAATAATAGAACCTACTAAAAATTAAAACGAATAAACGATAAGTATAAATACATTAAGATAAAATATAAATGTTTAATCTTATAAATAAAATATAAGTATTACCTGAGTGTAGTTGTCACAAGTTGCATTTTCTTCACATTTATTATTCATTCCATCATAAAAGAAAATCTCTTCGTACCAAATTTGAAAAGGATAAAGTAAATTTATAATATTTCCTCTATAGAAGTTTATTCCTTTGGTTGAAATATTCCAGAAACAGTTTTTAGCATTTTCATGAGCTCTTTGAGCAAGTTCAAAATCCCATTCCTATTCAGAATATTTTATAAAATTTATAATTTAGTATTAAAAAATATTTTGTTTAAATGAAAGACTAATAAGAAAAGAGCATAGAGTAAAGTTGCCCAGAGATGACACTTCCACTCCTTTATGTTGCGCCGCCATGGATTCAGTCGATAATCCAATATGGCAGTATAGTGAGGATGTTTCAGATACACGCTGTGAAGCAAAACGCTTACTATCTGTATTAATTTCGATAGGAGTTAATCCGGTTAATGAAATAGTTTAGATAATTGTATATGTATCAGAATACTCTCGTTATGGCAAAATGACGTTTGTTTACACCAGTAGGCCTAAATAAACTCTTTTATACAAGGTTTATTAGTCATTTATTGCGAAAAATAATAATTATGTTATTTTTAATTTTGGCTCATACCAAAGAGCGAATCTCTAATGATTACGGTTATTAAGGTTCAGATACATCGCCTTATATATATTCATTACACTAAATAATTTTATGGCGTATCAATGAACACGGAACCTGATTTGAACCTTAATTTTTTGCTATAAAAATTTGTTAATTTACCAGATGAATTATGAAATGAAGGCACTTTACAGGAATTTTTCAAACAGAAATACAGTGTAATTTAGTTACCAAATTAAACTTCAGAACTCACTTAACTAACCGCAAACTTTCAAGAATGATCGTATCTGTAATGTAGTTACTTATATTATATATATATTTATAATATACAACTAACCCAATAGTTATTTCAAATATCAAACGAATAGCGGATTCCTTTATCGGGCTATTAAGGCTAAATCATTTGTTAATTGCTATTAACTCCATTAATCTGACGAAGGAATCCGGCTGTTCGTTTGATATTTGAAGTAGGCTAATTATTTATAGGAATGTATTCTTGTGATTTATGCACAATTTGGCTATTTTGTTATATAAGCTAAATTTTTTATTGAAAGATTAACACCAACCTATAAATTTATGAAGCAACGAAAGGCAAGGTCTACTCGCACATCCACTATCAACCAAATAAGCTGACATGTAGATGGACAGTTTTCTTAAGAAGCAAAATAACACAGACAAATACTGATGAATACGCAAAAAACACTTGTAACTCATTAGGCTAGCAGACTCATAATGAAAACGAACAACGGAAAAAAGAACTCTGAAACTACAGGAATAAATAAATTATTCAGTAATTTGCTTATAATTGCATGCAGTGTCCGAGCTCACTCGAACCTCAATAAACCGCCATCTTCGATTTTGACCTTGATACATGACGGATAATGTTAACTCTATGGATATAACCATAAAGATCACTCGCCAATTTTTTAAATAAAATTATTTAATATTTTAATATACAATTGCAAAGAAATGAGTAAAGAAATTATGAAGAGCTTATACATATTAACAATTGTTGCTTACACGCTAAATAAACTTTATATTTCTTATATAACTAACACTATATTTCATTAGTAGTCTCATTACGTAGAATCATAGTTCGAGTTTCTGGACAAACATCTCCGTGTTGTCCATAAACGAATGGTTAAATACACAACGGAGAAATTCTTTCCCGAATTGTTGATTCGTTCTTCCTAAATGTTTATTAAGGAATAGTATTTCAAACCTAGAATCGATCTGTTTATTATTTTTTTATCACAAAAAAAACCACTCTACGATTGCTGTTTTTAAAAATTTGTGCGGAATTTAAAATTTTTACGTAGAATCAGAACATAAATTAATTTTAAAAAAGAAAAGATTATCAAAAATCCATTTATTTATTACGTCAGCAAATCAGAGAAATCCATCAGCAATTAAATAAAACAAAAAGAAAGTTCGAAAAAACCAGTTACAGTATCTAGGTCACACACGCTGTCTGGAAGTTCCACCCTCCCCGCCGCCGTCACATGACACGATGTTTATGTTTAGTCGTACGTGGTTCCCGCGCTTTATATAAAGTTCCAGATTAGTTTATTCGGTAGACAAACGTTAATTATTTTATTTAAATTAAAATTCTGGAGACTTTATGAAAATATTATATCAAAACCTCATTCGAATTAACCAGTTTGATTTAACGTATAAATCCTTACGCTGGACGATCGGAGAAAGGAAATGATTTCGAGTTATCCCGGTTCGAGTTAAACGGATTCTACTGTATTCAGAAGGAAAAATATAACTTTTATAATAAATTATAAAAATTTTGGCTAGTGTTTTTATAGGAATATAATAAGACTTTTGTCTAGTAAACTGCTTATTTAGACCTAGGCCTACTAATACAAAAAACAACAACTATAACTGCTTAAAAAACAAATTAATATTACTTTATTACGTCGAATTGACTTTATTTTGATTTTGAAATATATTTCAAATTATTTTATGTAATTTTACACACAAAATTGTTTTATGGTGCCATTGACTTCATGATTGCATTACATATTAAGTTATTGATAACAATAATACATAATGTACACAATTTAGAGATATTAGAAATGAATGTGTGTGTGTAATAAAATTATACGTAAAAAACCTCGAGCTGTTAATAAGAAACTATAAACATTTTAAATGACTTATTTATAAATTTAGTTAATTGTTATTTTTTAAGTTTTTTATTTATTTTCGTAATTTTTCATAATATAGCCATTTTTTAACTTTGGTTGCAAATTACAAATCTTTCTTCCAAGTCAGAAGAGATTTTACCTTCTTGCCTCACTGAGAAAATGCTAATATACTGTACTTTAAATTCTATTTATTGAAAATTTATGAAGTAGACACTATTAACTTTTCTGTCTAGACTTACAATAAGATAAGAGCATACTATTTCAATCAATATTAAGAATATAAATAAATAAAAAATCTTCCTAACTGATTGGTATTTAACTACTTTCTGTGTGAAATGGAAAGTGAAAAAGCAGCCACGAAAGTTCGAAAAAGTAAAGCAAGGCACGTTAGTTAATTTTGGGGTTTTTCATAAGTAGATTATTCAATACAATAATGCATTAAGTGTCCCTTTTGCCCCCATTGGCGGACGCCCATGGTTAAAATTTTATCACTGTACATTTCATATTTTTCCGCATTCTCCTATTAAAAGTAAATATATATATATATATAATGATTATTACCATATATTCCATATCAGCCGCAGGAGGTTGAACTTGACTTCTTATGAAATTATGCATATCAATGATTTGTTTAATTATTGTATCATTAAATACATTTACATTACTAGAGGATAATTTAAAAGAGCTGGCATGCCGATTTTCTTTATTCGAATTCCATTTATTATACATTAAATGATATAATGCAAAGTAAATTCCTCCAAATAATAATGTCAGCCAATAATATGCCATTGTCATGTCGGGATTCGAACCTGTAATTTATTAAATTTAGAGAAATAATTACAATAAAAATTATAATTTGCCAATTGTTTTCTTTTTATAGTCAATAACCTAATTTTAACGAAGTTTTTAAGCTTTATGTAAATTAAAATTCTAAAAAATATTTATTCTAATAAATTAAATAATTAATATTTTGGCATTTCACTTACTTAATCCACCAGAAAATCTGAAAAAGTTATTATATCAATTCAATATTTAAAAAATAATTATCCGGAAGAATTTTATTATGGTTAATTTATGTTCCATTCTAAAATTCAACCTTTAATCCACGTTCTTCCGATTTAATAAAAATCAACAGTCGAGTCTTAAATTTATTTTAAATTATTATTATTATTAATTTGAAAATGTTCTTTATTATAAATTTCGTTTGTTTTATGGAATAATGTATAACGTTACGTCAATTTGACGTAATTTTTTACACTTTTGCTTTAAAAAATGAAGAGATGACGTCAAATTTACGTAAATCCTAATCGAACTTTCATATCTTATATTTTTTAGTGCTGCCATCTAGCGATTAAGTTATGTAAATCAACGATTCTCAATTAGTTTACCAACGTGTAGTGAATTGGAACTTCTATAATTAAATAAATGTGAAATTCGGAATTTTTATTTTTTATTTTTAAGGGACATTTCGTCTAATTTTCACAAGATTTCAACTTAATTTCTTAAAGCGATCATTAAAATAACATCGCCGGAAAAAAAAAGATTAAATGTCGTCCCTCTCGTCAACAACCGCTAAAAGTTTATAAACACTCCTTCGAGAACATCAACATTCGCCCATACAAACACTGTCGATGTAACGTTGCAGGTATCAAAGAGTACAGTTGACGTCCGATTTCACCATCTTCTCATTGTCCCAGGAACACCTCTGACCCAACACCTGCGGAATCAACCTTCGTCTTCGACAACACTCAATCACATGACCATTTTCCCAGGCCGTTCCGAATATAAGACCGATACACCCCCCCCCCCTCCGGGCAGTCTCTTCGAGATCTTAACTGGTGCACATATAGAGTCGCGACAGGATATTAGAGTGGAAAAGTCGGATTAATCGAAATCCCCCAGAAATGTATCGGAAAGAGGTATGATATTCTCCAAAATGTTGTAAACTTTCTCTAGGTTCCTCACATTGTACGCTAGAGCTTAGTTAGTTCGAATATCCTCTCGTTTAAAGTGTATGCGAATAGTTTAACCGACGTTGTAGTCGATTTTATATTTTATATTTCTGTAAATTTTTTATTTATTTATTAAATTTTTGATTTTCCTTGTTAATGGTGTCTATTACTCGTATATCGCATACTCCTTACCGACGACCCCTTTAAAATCATTCTATAATCGAACCAATATGCAATAACAAATTCGAATTTTAAACGGTTCGAACATTTGGTTAAAAATCGAAATATATAAAATATTTATAACAATGTCTGAAATGTTATCAATTTAATACACCTAAGAACTCAATGAAAACTAAACGTAGTTCAAAACAAAAAATCGCATCTAAAATAGTATAGTAGAAGCCGTTCTTCAGGTTAAGCCTTAATCCTCTCCCTCTCCCCCCGCGGGGGAATTTCGAAAAATCCCTTCTTAGTGTGCGTTTCCATGACATACCCTAACCCTGTACAAAATTTCGCCTCTTTAGATTTAGCGGTTTGCTCTGGGCGATGATGAATCAATCAGTCAGTCAGTCAGGACAAGTAATTTTATATGATGTAATAAACGTTTCTTTCATGGCGAACTGATCCAGCCTTAAAGTGAATAAATCAACCTGAATAATTACCGCATTGGCACAGCCATTTATATAAATCTTTATTATCAACAGCTGTTAGATGTCTAATAAGTGGAAGTCATCTTACGATAGCGGTCGTAAATATCAAGGCAAATGGGAGGAGACGTTTGTATGGATACAAAAAGCTTCAGATGGGTCAGAGGCAGGATATTGCAAACTGCGCCACTGCAATATCACACCTAAATTTTGTAATTTATCATATCATAAAAAACAGAGAAACATAAAAGGAAAGCGCCAATTCAAGGCCAAAAGAAACTGAATCCCCCAAAAAACGCCAAGGCATAACAATAATGAAGTAAAGGCAGCAGAGCTGCAAATTGCATCCAGAATGATAAACCATTGTGCTTACGTTCTGTTGACTACATAACTGATATAATGAAAGCACATGGATGTGGAAGTATATTGGAACATATAAAATTGCACCGAAGTAAGTGTGCTTGCTTGATAAAAAATGTGATTTCCCCTACGTTAAAAACAGAGCTCGATTTAAAAAATAAGAATGCCGTCATCGACGATGAGTCGACTGACATTTCTACTCAAAAGCACTTGTGCGTGTTAGTACGATTTCTTAGTGATAGCCTGTCACTTCCAACGAAAAACAGCTATTCAAATCGAGAACGTCCGACATTTCATCATTCCTCCCATCGAAAACATCATCAACGAAAAGGAAATGGAAATAATCCGAACTCGTTTAACCCAAAAAACAAGTTCAATCTCAACTCCCGAAATGCAAACGTATACCGATATCTTACGAGCCAACAGATCTTTAAATAAAATGGAACTTGACCTAGAACAACTCCTCTCAGCCAAACCCGATCATATTCACCCTCCCACCATCTCTTCTTCATCCACATTCATCATCTTAGCATCCACCGTCTCCATTATGGGAATAGGAAGTCTTCTCATAACCATCTATCAATGTCGCCGGAACATCCGGCCACGACCTCGCCGCATCCGCCCAACCATCGACTTAATCCAGCGCGCCCAGACGCTACTTCACGGAATTCCGCTACCCCACACTTTCGGGAGACAGCATAGCTATCCTTATGTAATCAAAGGTTTAACAAATCACCCCTGGATGAGAAATCATAACATTAGTTCCAATCGTGCTATATTAATTATAATCTGTATATTTATTTACTAACACCTTTCTTGAAAAAAGGAGACTCCAACCGCTTAGTGTTTATTCTTCCTTTTTTCTTTACAGATATCATCATCCCCATCGTGGGCCAACCAACATGGATTCCGCTTTGGATTTTCTACTAAACTGTCCTATTTGCTATAACCGGATAAAGCCACCAGTCTATCAGTGTACCAATGGCCACATAGTCTGCTCTGAATGTCGACTGCGCATAACCCAGTGTCACACCTGTAGAGAACCTCTGGGCCATATCCGAAGCCTGATTGTAGAACAAATCTTTAGTACTATGCAATCTCCCCTGCGTATTCCAAGCCTTCGGGTGCACAGAGACTCTCCCCGAGAGGGACCACCTACTTCACGAAGAAGCCTGTCCCTTTAAATTAAACCCCTCCCATGTCCCTTCCACTCCTCAAACTGTACCTGGAAGGGCGCCCGGATGCAACTTCAAACCCATCTAACCATAGGGCACCAACCTGAGGGTACCTGGGCCGCCACTGTAGAGTACCATCTTCAAAAATTCCTTCTTTTAGTCACTAAACACAATCCCGAAAATGCTTCCTTTCTTATAAAAATCCTTTTCCTGGAAAAACCGCCAACAGATAGTAAGTTCAGATACAAAAGAGGAGACCACGCATTTCGATGGACTTCTATCGTCCATGAAACATACGAGGATAATTCCACCCTTTCACCGTATCCAGCTCCATCCTTTGAAGTCCCTCTTAATCTTATACACTTTTTCAGCACCCATCACAATTTCAAATTCATTCTTACCATTTCCCCTCTAGATGGCTGAACCTAATGAATTAGGTTCAGCCATCCACTTCCAGCACCGACTACAAGCAACGAGATTGATGCGAAAACACTACGAGCCGCCATCCATTTTGCTCGATCCCAACGGCAAAGATCTCCAACGCTCCCTGTCACACTCATTCTACCCATCAATTATAGTTGTCCGCCACAACTGGAACAAGCCTATCAAGAAGTTAACCGCCACCATCAAACACCAGAATCTTCCGAAATCACCCCAGATGCTTCCTGAACCCCCCTCTTCCTCTCGCTCCCACAAGCCTCGACCAACGCCTCGCCCTCACTACCACTCCCACCGTCGACCTTAAGGCTATGTACACATTAGGCGTTTTGCGTTGCGTTAAACGCGCGTTTAGCTCGGTGTTCGACGACCGTTCCCACTGGCTCAGTTTGGAAATGGACGTGAAAGTAATTGCTTGTGTGTGCCTCCTCCATCGTCGCTATAAAAGATGATGGCAAAGAGAATTTTGGGTGCACCCAATATTACGAGATAGACTGATGCATGGAATGTTTGTGACATTGTATCCAAATTAAGACAATATGAACCCAAGTTTTTTAATTCTTTTAGAATATCTATATAATTATTTGACAACGGCTGGTCTCTTTTAGATTTCATCAATAAATAGATCAGTATTGAAATGATCATTCCCGAAAAGTTAGTCGTCGCCAGTCACTCTTGGATTAGTCATCAAAAATATCCTGTGTCAGTGTCAATCGTACTTTGTCGGATTTTCACATTACTTTCCACTGTGCCTAGAACTTTCTTGATGCAGACCAGTCCCAACGATCCAAATCCTCACCCTCAAGATCCTAATCTCAACCTCAATTCAAGAATCATCATCATCAACGCAGGTATTTCCCGACTAGTGAACAATTGTAAACTCTCTCTCTCTCGATTGCTAGCTAGATAGGTTAAGTCGATATATTGTATCATGTATTTCTTCTTCGTTGAAAAAAAACGGTTATTTAGTTGTTTTCTTTTGTATCTGAGTATTTTCCTTCTGGTACGCTGCCTCTCAACCCAAATTTAGATCCTGGATCCGATCGCCCGCACACGCGGCCACTTGCGTGACTAAATCAACACGCCAGCTGGGCTTTCAATCGGGACATGGTGGTATCAGTCCTGACAGGGCATCGGAGGTGATGACCCTCTGGTCACACTAGGAATACTGAGTGCCACCATAATGGTCTATATCTTTGTATTGCCACTGAAGGCTATTGACGTTTTCTAACAAAATAAAGCTCACTGTTTTGTATCAGTTTCTGCAATGTTGTTTTTATCCTTTACAGTCAGATTATTTATGCTAAACTGTTATGCTAAATTGTCTTAAATTGATTACATTTGATTATTTTAGGGCTGGAACAAGTATGCACCATGTGCATACATTTGTGCAATGCTGGAAAGACCTCTCTTTCTTGCTACTTGATAGATGTTTAAGTAGATACCTGGCCAAACTCATAATGGGCTTGCTAAAAAGGTCTTCTTGGTGCCCGCAGGGTGGAAAAAGTTTTAAAAATCAATCGAGATTTTTTAAACTTTTAAACTCTTTATGCTCTAATCCGGTGATAGAGAACCTTTTTACGAAGGTGAGTCAAAATTGAATTCGAAATTTATTAACTCCAAATTGCAGGTTAAATATTTAATTTGAGTAACAATAAACTCTATATTATAAAAATAAAAATAAATAGTTTGTGAGAAACCTGCTGCTATTAATTTGATATAATTTTTCTATCTGAGGTTCATAATTAGTAGCCTTTAAGATTTTCCACGATAGCTTTAGGGCTTTGCTTTTACACCATATATAAAAGATGACTGGATGGCCAAGAAATTAAAATGACAGTCTACCACATTAAGTTACCCGAGATTGAATCCAGATAGGTCAGAATTCTCCATAAATTTACAGTATCTTTGCTTTATTCTGAAGTATTATCTTGCTCTTATTCTGAACTATATACAGTATCTTTGCTTTATTCTGAAGTATTATCTTGCTCTTATTCTGAACTATATTCTGAACTTATTCTGAAGTATATAGCAGGGCCATATAGTTAAACTGTTTAAGAACAATATATCTGGAGCAGATTGGATAGTATAATATATTATTTTTCAAACACAGATGAATGGTTCTGGCAAAATTATCCTTTACTAGAAGGTGGTTTCTTCCAACTGTCCCATTTATTTCTATTGTTCTTGTCATGCAAAACAAATTTACCCCAAACCACTGTTATCCTTTTTATTTACTCTTACACCAGTGTTCCAGAGAACACTGGTCTAAGAACTGAACACATGTTATTTTATTCATAGACAATTCCATGTTTATATTTTATTCAATACAATAAAGTTTATTGGTTTATTGATTTCTTGATTTGTGAGTATTATAAATATATTTTATAATATTCCACGTTCGTTTTTAACAGGCAATTGCTAACTTCTCGGCGGACATGCGAAGGGAAAAGGAAGATTACTTGAATAGATGTCATTCCGTTGAGATGTGAATAGATACTGTATTTCAATTTTATAAATATTCTATTGGTTTCATGTATAGTGCTAAATATCTTTAGAAATATATTTATAAAATTGAAATATGTATTCACCTCTGGATGGAACAACATTTATTTAACTAATCTTTGATGAAGATCACTTGATTATAGTATTCCACGTGTATTATACACATGGAATTTCTTATCAATTTTTGAATATATTGATGCTAATGATCCATGAAATACAAAGTATATGAATGGTGTCCATGGCCTCAGAAAGGTTGATGACCATTGATTTAGATTAAATAATACAAAAATTTCCATGAAATGTAAGAAATGGGATCTAACTAACCCCAGTTCACAACAACAAATTTCTAGATTATCTCTTTCTTCATTCAGAACTAAACTAAAAATTATTTTTCATGATTGTTTATCAAAATATTTTAACTTATGTGTTTCCAATTATTGAAAATAATATTGTTAAGAAAGATAATCAAATTATGATCAATACATTCAAGTAGCAAACTATTATCTAATATTTATTCTATTTTATGCCTTTTTTTTTATTTGATTGTAAAGATATCATAAGATAAATACAGTGATATCAATAAAATAATTAGTGAAAAATGATATGTTATTTAATTGCTAATTATATAAATTCTATCTTATGAAGAATGTTTTACTTTATCCATTCCATGTAATCTTTGAAGATGAGCAGTCAGCACATCAAGTTGGCGAGAGTCTAAAAGAAAAAAAATACAAGTCAAAATTTTTATAGCTTTTACTATTAATGTATTGTTTATCTTTTCAAAATTCTTATAATATGTATCATTACTTATAATGAGAAAATTTACCATATTCTCGAACACTATCTTGATTATGCCATAAAGAATTAGTTGAATTCCATATTTGATTTTCTGATTGACTGTTAAACAAAATGGAATTAAGAATTAGAATATTTATCATTAAAAACATCATTAAAAGTATTAGTATATGTTTAATAATAATAATAATAGTCACAAACTTATTTTGATATTTTAAGAATAATGTAACAAAATTGGCAACTGATAAACAAGAATGCAGAAGTTCAATGTTACTATTGAACTTTTAGATTAATTAAGAATGATTATCTGGTTACATCATTGTATCAGTGATATTATATTTGCAGATAAGAAAGTAAACTTGATGATATGTTTTAAATGCTGAATTTGTAATGTGTGCAGGACAATAGTTAAAAAACAGAGCAACTTCATTCTATTATCATATTTTATTAACCAAATTAAAAACAAAGTATTAAGGCGAATTCATCAAATCCAAGCATTAAGACTGATTCTCGCTACAATTGAATCTACAATGGTAAGCAGTGTATCATAGTTACCATTGTAATATCATTTCATGATAGAAACCAATTCATGAGTTGTCTTTTCCTAGTCTTGTCTCTTAATGAAAAAGTTTTCCCTTCTTTCAGGCTCAATTCAATTCAGTTCAACTTAGAACATTCAGTTTACAAATTTTACAATGATGAAAAGTGACAAAAAGGAAATTTAACTAATAGGAATATAGTACAGATAATTCATATTTGCAGGAAACCATCAGGAAAAACAGTTTAGTATTGATAACTATATGGTAAATTTTTTTAACAATTGATATACCATATGCAACTCGACACAAAATTAAATTGTTGTGAAGTGATTTGAAAAAAAATTCATTATTATTTATTTTNGTACAGATAATTCATATTTGCAGGAAACCATCAGGAAAAACAGTTTAGTATTGATAACTATATGGTAAATTTTTTTAACAATTGATATACCATATGCAACTCGACACAAAATTAAATTGTTGTGAAGTGATTTGAAAAAAAATTCATTATTATTTATTTTAAAATTTTATTATTTTATGGTAACTAATGTTAGGCTAGAAAGCAAATAGCCTGGTCTATATATATTTTTCTGAAGTAGTATAATCAACATCAGTGCTACTCAAACTGGTTTACAGACTAGAGCTGGTCTGCAAATAGTTTATTACTGGGCTACAATGAAATCTCACTTAAACTTTCATAATACACTAGAGTCTCGAAAACTCGGCATTCCATAACCCAGCACTCCGGATAACTCGGCCACACCTTGGCAGGACAAAAAATTCCTTAGTTAATTAATTTTCATTATAGACAGCTTTATAAAAGTATAAAAGCTCTCGTAAAGTATTTTTCTGAGGTCTGTCTTATCAGGTAAATTACTGTACACAGTGTATTCATTAATTTTCATTTTCATGTAGTAAAGGCTCTATGCCTTCATAAAGGATATACTTTTCCTTTGTTTAAGGGTATTTTGGCAGTTTATTCTCTGTTGTATTCTCAAGCAAACAATACATACAAATACAGTACAATATTTTCTGAGGAAACACGCATACTTATCCTTTTGTAACCCCATTCCCGATAACCCGGCATTTTCACAAACTCGGCCACCCTTCGGTCCACATTAGGCCAAGTTTCTGAGGCTCTACTGTATAATGTACAAGAGCTCCCTAATTATGAGCATTCAACTTACAAAGTTTCAGACTTACGAACAATTTGACCATACATCTAAACTTTAATTTTCACACTGATTGTGAAATTCTCTTGACACTCATGAGGTGGTGTCAAAGTTAGTCTTTGGCCAGTAATAAATAATAAATTTTTATTGAATAATTAATGTGGATTTATTTCTGTTCATATCATTATTTTTCATATATGAATGAATTCTGACATTCCATCACTGCTCAAGGTGGCATTGAAGTTGATAACATTGGAGTAATGGTGTTTATTGCTATTATTTGCAATTTTTATAAACTTTTACAATTAGTGCTTCAAAAATGCATCTAAAAAATAATAGTAAATCTAACAGTGGAGATAAATGCAAGAAGTGTGGCTCTATTACCGTGGAAACTAAACATGACATTATAAAACTAAGTGTATATATATTTGGTAAAAAAATACTTTTGAAATACCCACTACTAAGCAGAAGTGCGTGGATAAATGAACATAATGTATTCTATCAAGTACACTGAAGAATCAAATACTAACAATAAATGATTATTCTGTGTAAAAATGTACTTTCTAGGTTAGTTTTTGACTTACAACAAAACCTCATAAACCTAACCTGTTCATAAGTAGGGTAGCACCTTTATTATGTTAATATAATCATTTAAAATGTTTTAAAAACATATTATTTTATAGTTTCTTGCTGGATATTGGTTTTATGTATAGTGCTTATTTATTTTATTACTTTTATTTATTATTATTATTTAGACAGTTAGTGCCAGGATTGGACAGTTGATCAAAATCAACCAGGAAATTACTTGAAAATGGCCACAAACCGTTTTTTTCAATACAATTAGAATCAGATTTTATTGTTGTATATTTCTTACTAATTCAGACTAAAAATTACAATAGAAAAATAAATGNTGTATAGTGCTTATTTATTTTATTACTTTTATTTATTATTATTATTTAGACAGTTAGTGCCAGGATTGGACAGTTGATCAAAATCAACCAGGAAATTACTTGAAAATGGCCACAAACCGTTTTTTTCAATACAATTAGAATCAGATTTTATTGTTGTATATTTCTTACTAATTCAGACTAAAAATTACAATAGAAAAATAAATGCATTTGAACTTCAATCTTTGTTTTATAATTATTTTTATTTAATTTCATAAAATACTGGCAACAAGAGATTGGAATGAAAGATATGATAAAATAACAAATGATACTACTACCTTTGATTATAATTAGTAG